TCAATTAAGGTATCTTAACAATTATCAAGATAAAAAAAATTAAAAAAAAAAAACGGCACAACACAAATACTTTTTACAGTGATTCGATTCTACATGAATCTATATCTAATTATCTAACAATTTTAGCTAGATTTTCATTAATAATATTAAGAGTTAAAATTACAGGTATATAACTTACACTCTAGATATACAAAGAATTTGAAAAACCTTCCAGATTTACAAACAATATCACCAAGGTGGAAAGAATACAAAAGAAAGAATTACATAAAAAAACACAAGAAAGAAGTAACCTAGTTTGTGAAGGTATTACAATTTCACATGATAAGAGTTTTCAATAATGCTTGATCTTACTCTTTTTTTGATGAACAAAATTGTTAATCGCTAAAAATATTATCTCCACATTCTCATGAGTTTTTATAATATGAAAAGAACTTATTTTAAAAAAATGATACATCTTTTTAAAGAAAAAAAGAGAGAATGTCCATATTAATTGATTATGTAAGTAATTTAATCAATTAATATAGAGACAAAAGCAACGTTTTAGTTTTACTAAGTTAATTGATTATCTCCGGAATTGATCAATTAATATAGAGAACAAAACAACTTTTCAGTTTTACATTAACATTAATCGGTTATATTATTAATGTAATAAGATATATAATTTTTCTTTCTTAACTCAGTCTTCATTTTATTTAAAATGATTTAATGTTCCTTCTATTAAATTAGTCCATTAAAGTGGTATTAAAAGTTTTTGGATAGTAACCATGTGTGCTATCTTAATTTTTCTTTTTTGAGTTGTTTTTAACTCTTTTAGTTTTTTTACTCTCTCTCTCTCTCACCACCACCACTTTTCTCTACTTCACAACTCACTCTTTGTCTCCTCTACATGTTAGCATTGCAAATGGGTTGTTGTGATATTCCTTGTCAACCTCTTCTACCTCTTGTATAGCAATTAAAAATAGACCTTATAATTTTTACAAAATCAATTTCACTATCCCTCCAATTATGCCATTTGGAAGGTCCATTAAACTTATTTTCTTTGAAAGAAACAAAATTCAAATCCACCACAAAATTTTCTTTATTCTTGTGTAGTGTTTTGTTAAGATTTATGTCCTTCAATAAATAAAATGCAAAGGGTAAAGAATATAAAACCCCAGAAATGACATTTTAAAAGAGATAATGGTTTAAAAACAGTGAGACTCAATTATATTAATAAAGAGTTTTAATATAAATAGTCTTATTATGAACAAGTTTCATTATTTTAAAACATACAATTTCTCTAAAAACTACTTTTCTAGAGTTTTGTGACTTCTTTCTAGGAGTTCTCGTCTCTTGTTCCTCTGTTTGAAGATTGGAGACCACTTGAGTGATTCTTGCGGCAAAATCTTCAAGTCTAACTGAATAATTTCTACAAAAGAGTAAGTTGATTTATGCTCTTTTTCGTTAGTATGTTTTCTTCTCCTTTGCATGCGTACCATTTGTGGTTGCATAGTCTTCAATTTCAATATGTGTTGACCAATGGTCCTAACGATGTACCCTGATCGTGATTTTGTAGTTCGTAGGAGCAGATAAGAGTTCTTATGCATTTGTGGCTGTTTTAGGCTTTCTAAAGTGGTTTAGTCATCTCTTAGGTAAGAGAAGTTAAATTCCTTTTTTCTATTGTTTTAAAGTTTTGATAATCTGAGTTGGTATGCTTGAGTTTGATTAAAAATATTGAGCTTGTTGAGATTATGTTGTGTTGTGGTATAGTTGCTTGAACTTGAATCTAAATGTGTGTATTTGATATTGAAAAAGCCTTGCTGTGAGTTCTTGTTGGTTGTTACTTGTGTTGGTCACTTGAGCTGATGTAATTGAAGTTATAATTAATTGAAATTTTCTGTTAAATCTTGATGTAGTGAAATATGAGAGTCTTAGCTAGCTTTTGGGTCTAATTTGGGGGTTTTCATAGGTGAAATTCTAGAGGATTGGTTTTGGGAAGAAACCTGATGTTTGGGGTTTGTTTTTAGGCCTTTCAAGACTTGTTTAGTCTTTTAGTTCATTAAAATATAATTTGAAATAGGTGAAATCTGCTATACGAGTTATTGGGTTGTTAATGTAGGTGATGTTAAATTGTGCTTATCTTGTTTGGTTTGGTTTTGAATTGGAGAAGTGGGGATTCTGAATCAATTGAGCGAATTAATGTTGAATTTGACATAAAAACTTATTTTATAACTCTTCATTGAGTTAAGGATACTAATTTGGTCATTTGAATAAGTCTCTGGTTCCCCAATTGGTAGAAAGGAAGTCGTTGATTTTTCTGATATAGGGCTGAGCCGTACTAGTATAGGACTGAGCAGTACTGGGATAAGGTTGAATGGTATTTCTGGGCGCTAAGCACTGTCTAAGTCAGTGAGCTAATAGTTTCTGGTGTTGAGTGGTATTCTGGGGCGTTGATAGCCACTTTCCTCTACAAGTCTGGTTTGTTTTTCTTTTTTAATTCACTGGACAAGGGCTTAGCTCATTGGGCAAGAATAGTTGTTCACTAAGCATCAGTATATTGTTGTTGGGCGCCCTATTTCATGTTCTTCTTTAGGTTTCCTCTTCTTTTGATTCCTTGTTTGGTTGAGTTAGTTTATATAACTAAATTACTTACTTGTGTGAAATTTATGAATGTTTTATGGATGGTAAGCATGGATGTATGTATGGATTTAGTATGTGTTATATGTGTGGTGATATTCAAATGAAATGGAAAGTGTGGATTAAGTATGATGTGAAAAGGACTCCATAGGGAAATTCTTATGGTTGTTATGTTGTGTTATGTATTGAAGTAGGGACTCCAGGATTGGGGAGTGATTCTGACATTCTCAATAACTTCCAACCTTTAGTAGAGATGGGTGGTTATGTTGTGGAGAGTAGCAGAAGGTTCTTGGTCTAATGATCATGTATTGACCATATATGTTTGATGGATTAATCTTGGTATGTGGTAGTTTGATGTGGACGAGTTGTTTCACCATACATGGGACCGGTCCCCACGAGTCCAACATCAATACATGTATCTGGATGGTCGCAGTTTAAAGTTGATATGATTATTTCTGTATTGCTTGATTTATATTAGGAATGTGATATTAATATTTTAAAATGTATGAATGTTTCTTTGCTACTTTAGCTTATACCCTTCTATCTTTGTCTGTTCATGTGTGTTTTTGTTTTGTCTTTTGCAATGATCACCTTAATAGTGTGAGCTTAGGACATGTCTCTGGTGAGCAGGAGCTAGTTGGTGGCAGAGCTAAAGCTTAAAGTAGGACGTTTCATCGCTTCTATTTTGTTTTGTAAACTTTATATTACGTTTTTTGTTGTAGTATATCTCCTTATAGTGTAGGAATATATATATATATATATATATATATATATATATATATATATATATATATATATATATATATATATATATATATACTTTGTTATTATATATTATTTTGGATAATTATAATAGTAATTTATATGTTTTTCTCCTAATCAACTATTTTGTTTCATTAAAAATGTGATATATTTACAGTAGTTGAACATTATGAAAATTAAAATGTTACAAATAAACTCTATGAGTGAAAAAGATAAAAAAAGGTGACAAAAGAAGAAAAAGGAAAATAGTGGAGGAGAAAAGAATGAGAAAGAGTAAAAGAATGATGGAAAGTGGTGGATGGTAAAAGACAGTGGAAGGAGAAAGAAAAATACAATAGAAAAAAAGAGTAGAAACTGATACTGTATTACCTTTTAACCCGAGTTAAATAAAAGGAATTAATCCTTTTAAATAAAATGAAAAAAAAATTAAAAAGAAAATAGAAGAACATTGAATAAAGTCCACTGAGGTTAAAATACTAATTATAACAATTTATGAATTAATTATATTCTTTAATAATCAAATTGATATTATATTATAATATTTATGTGTAATCTTTTAATTGAAGTTATAGAAGATGTAATTGTCATTCTCTTTAGTCACTCATGTATTAAATAAGAGTTTTCTTTTTTCCTAACTAAATTGAACCCAAACTGCATTTAAGTTTTGATAGAGAGGAGTAGTAATGCACTATTTAACATACTTTCTATTTCTCATTTCGTAAGTCATTAAATATTAGAAAATAGAAAATAAAACATTGAATCAAGAGTTTATATCATAAGACGAAAATAATTTTGGAAATTTTTTTCCGCAAAACTAAAACTATTTTTATAAATATACAATAAATTAATTGAATAATAAATTAGTAAATATAAAACACAATAAAACGCAGCGTATGGTTTAATAGAGATGCAAAGTTTGTACACGAAGAAGAAAATTCAAACAAACTGTCACCGCTCACTCTATATGTCTACATGCATACTATGTGCTAATACAAAATAATACCTTATACTTAAGATGAATAATTTCTTTAAAAATAATCAAATTAAGTATATCTTGAATCTAACACATTTTCAGTACTATATAACACACACACACACAAAATAAAAAATCTTACTAATTAATAATTCTTTAATCTTGAATAACAAATTACTTGCTCCTTAAGTCCAATTTTTCCATGTTATAATTTTGCCAGAATATTAAATCACAAGAAATCTTTTTTCTCATAAAACTGGATTTACAACAGTTGTTATGAATTCAGCCAGAATTGAACCACAATCAATAACGGAAGTTATTTGAATTAATCTTCATGTCATCAATGGATCCATCGCCATCAAATAATACATAAAACATGAGAAATGGGTTGAGGAGTAAGCAGAGTGATGAGGTATATTAAAGTCTTTTATGACTCTGACTTCAAATTTAACACAAAATTTCTCATAACACGTGTACCACAAAATTTGCTTGTTTATTTTTGTCCGTCACATATATCAAACATACTTGCTTGTTTCCATTCAAAACAGTATAGACTTGACGATGGAAAACAAGCATGTATGAATAGGGACCAAACCATTCCCCAAACCACAAACTTGCATCTTAACTCTGTTTCTGCTCTTTCGTCAACATGGCTGAATATTTTGTCTTTGATATTGCTGAATCACTGGTAAGGAAGCTTGCTTCTTTTGTTTGTGAAGAAGCTTCTCGTGTCTATGAAGTGTACGATGATGTCAAAGGGATCAAAGATACTCTGTCAATTGTGAAAGGTGTGCTTTTGGATGCAGAGCAAAAGAAGGAGCAGAGGCATGGGTTGCGTGAATGGATCAGACAGATTCAGACTGTATGCTTGGATGCTCAAGATGTGTTGGATGGACTTGACTGCCAAAACGTCAGAAAGCAATTTCTCAAAGCTTCGGGCAGCACAAGGATGAAGGTAGGACACTTCTTTTCTCCATCAAATTCTCTTGTTTTCCGTTTTCAGATGGCTCGGCAAATAAAAAACATTAGGCGTAGATTGGATAAGATAGCAGCAGATGGGAACAAGTTTGGTCTTGAGAGGATTGAGGTTGACAGCAGACTTGTGCAAAGGAGAGAAATGACTTATTCCCATGTTGATGCTTCGGGGGTGATTGGAAGGGAGAGTGATAGGGAAGAAGTTATCAAGCTTTTGATGCAACCTCACCCTCATGGTGATGGTTATGGAGATCAAAGTGTTTGTGTTATTCCCATAGTGGGTATTGGAGGGATGGGGAAGACCACACTTGCAAAGTTGATGTTCAATGATAACAGAATGGATTATCTTTTCCAATTGAAGATGTGGGTGTGTATCTCTGATGACTTTGACATAAGGCAGATACTGATTAATATCATCAACTCTGCTTCTGTTTCAGCTTCGGCCACAACTACTGCTATTGCTCACCAAGAAAACATTAAAAACTTTGATATTGAGCAGCTACAAACTGTTCTTAAACTGAAGCTTTCTGGTCAGAAGTATTTGCTAGTCTTGGACGATATTTGGAATGATAATCGTGCAAAATGGACAGAGTTGAAAGATTTAATTAAAGTGGGTGCAGTTGGAAGCAAAATCTTGGTGACAACACGAAGTAACTCAATTTCTTCAATGATGGGCACTGTTCCCTCGTATGTCTTGGAAGGTCTTTCCATGGAGAATTGTTATGCTCTGTTTAACAAATGGGCATTTAAGGAAGGCGAAGAAAAAGAATATTCAAATCTAGTAAAGATTGGAAAAGAAATTGTGAAAAAATGTAGAGGGGTTCCAATGGCAGTGCGAACATTAGGAAGTTCTCTGTTCCTAGTTTTTGATTTAGAGAGGTGGGAATTTGTAAGAGACCATGAAATATGGAACATAAAACAAAACAAAGATGACATTTTACCCGCTCTTAAGTTGAGCTATGAACAAATGCCTTCTTGTTTAAGGCACGTTTTTGCGTTCTTTTCTCTTTATCCTAAAGATTATGGCTTTTGTAGTGCTGAGATTCTTATTCTTTGGGAGTCTCTTGGATTACTTCAATCTTTAGGTGGAAATCGAAAGCTTGAGAATGTTGCAAGGCAATATATTGATGAGTTACATGCAAGATCGTTTCTTGAGGATTTTGAGGACTTCGGGTACTATTACTATTTCAAAGTACATGATTTGGTACACGATCTTGCTCTGTTTGTTGCGAAAGAGGAGCTTCTAATGGTAAACTCCTTTACTCGTTATATTCCTGAGCAAATAAGGCATTTATCAGTTGTTGAAAATGATTCACTTAACCACGTTTTGTTCCCCAAATCCAACAGAGTGAGAACTATTTTATTTCCCTTAAAAGGAACTGGCATAGAAAGTAAAACTCTTCTGCATACTTGGACAACAAGATACAAACACTTACGGTTTTTAGATTTAAGTGATTCCTCTTTTGACACATTGCCTAATTCAATTGCTGAATTGAAGCATCTACGAACTCTCTTTTCAGATAAATGCAAAATAAAAAGACTTCCTCATTCTCTATGCAAACTCCATAATTTGCAAATTTTGTCTCTCAGAGGATGCATGGAGCTTGAAACATTGCCTGAAAGATTAGGAATGTTAATCAGCCTTCGGAAATTGTATATAACCACAAAACAATCTATTCTGCCTGAGAATGAATTTGCAAGCTTGAGAAATCTTCATACTTTGAGTTTTGAATACTGTGGCAATTTGAAGCTTTTGTTGAGAAGGGAACAACTCGCTTTCCTTGAAGTTTTGGTCATTCATGTTGAAAAATAAACAAAACAGAAGCTATTCTGTTACAGTGTGTGCGGTTGTGTATAAATAAGCATTGTATCATTCATTTACAGGTTAATAAAATTTTTGAGGTATTATTCAGTTTACCTGTGTGCATTTGTGAGTCTTTAACCGGTTGTTTCTCTGCATCCTGGTGTTGCTCAGCCGTGCGTGGTGGTGATCTCCAAAGGGGCTGAAACCCTAGCAGAGCTCGGGGTGCCTTCATTCTCGCTGATTCTCATTTTCGCTCTCCCCGTTCTGTCTCTCTCCACTCTCACGTGCTCACATTACTTTTAAAGGAAAGTAATTCGAGGTGGGAAAAAAATTACATTCCTGCCCTTTTATTCTAATAGGTATCAAGACACGGTTGCTATCCTGAGTTGTGTAAACGTTAGGATTGTATTCTGGAGGTGTGTGTAGCCCAGAACTGCAGCAACTGAGGTTCTTTGACTGGGTTTTAGATCAAAGATCAGAAAGCGAGTAGCAAGAACGGATGGCGGAATTGGCGGAATTTCAGGGGTCCATTACCTGTGTTTGATGGCAAAATGTCAGATTGGAGGATCAAGATGTGGCTGTGTTTGCTTCAGGATGTGTTGGAAAGCTTGAAAGATGGAGTGCCTGTGTTGATTGAAGGACCCCAGACACAGAAGAAAGGAACACAAGATACTGGAGAAAATGTGACAGCAAGGCCAGGGTTTCTTGATGTATCAATGTTAATCCGAAAATTATTCCAAAGATCCTAATGCAGCCACTGCCAAAGGAGATTTGGGGACTGCTATGAAACCTACTTTATTGAGAGAGAAATGCAAAGGTTTAACGCAAGCTTTAAGAAGGAAATTGAAACGCTGATCATGGAGCGTGAAAGTGAACCGTGGCTGCGTATTTTGATAACGTCCCGGAGTGGTGTAATAAAATAGAGCTTGTGGTGAAAGGTTAAAATTAATGAGTACATAGTAGATCAAGTCTTGAGATACCCTACTCCCAGATTTGACATATATGGTGACTGATATTGAAGAAACAGGAGAAGAGAGGATATAGACAATGAGAGGCACGCAGCACTAGAGGCTCATGAGTTACGTCTCAATGAACCGGCATGTCAGGAGCAGGCCCTAACACGGCCAGATCACAATGGAGAGTAAAAAGGGGTTCAACGAAAGTCGAGAAAGGAGGAAAAAAGAAAGATTAATGTGATCACCGGAGAACGAATCCCACTGAATTGGAAAATAAAGGAAAGATAAGAGGCAAGAATTGCTGATGTAAGAATGTAAATTTTATAAAAAAATTGTGCATTGGCTATAACTGCAAAGCTGGGTCACTATGCAAAGGAGTGCTGGAAGGGTGAAGGGGCCAAGAATAAACCTAAGAGAGGCTAATCTTGTCAAAAAATCAGAGTCAGAGCAGTATTTGATGTCCCTATTATGATTAAATCAACCAAAAGTACTGTATGGTATCTTTACTCATCTGCCAACTCACATTACTGGGAAGAAAAGACTGGTTTAGTGAGAATGCAGAAAGTGAAAAATAGGAAGATCAAATTTGTGATACAGCAGTTTGGAGGCAAATGCTCTGCATAGTACTTTTGATGGTGAAGATGGTAGAGAAGTTGTTCATTGCGAGGGACTGTATGTCCTGGGTTAAGACTAAGTTAGCTAGTCTTTGCAATTACCGCTCAAAAGGGCTATGTAATGAAATTGAACCATGGCCTGAGCATTAGTCAACCAATAGGGAAAGAGGTGATCCAGGGGCTGAAATTTCCCAGACAGAACGTTTAAAGGGGTTATTGAGGCAGTAGACCATCACTGTTTTACTGCGCAGAAGAGGGAAAGGAGTGGCTGCTGGCTTCATATTTGGAATCTGAATTTACAGAGTCTATCAATGCTAAGTCAGAAGAATTGTGTGACTGGCTTATCAAAGGTCGATGTTCCAATAACTGTTTTGCAGGGAATGTGTCCAATGCAAACAGACCCTGCAGTTTTCACAATAGCTTTACAAAACTCAGAAAACTGCGAAAAATAGGATTGGTTTACTCATATGTTTGTGGCCCTAGCAAGTAGAGACCCGGGGGTAGCATGTATTTCTACTATTTTTTGGATGACTTGACCAAAATGTTGGGTGTATCTCTACAGAGAACAGGGGACGTACTGCAACATTTTCAGCAGTTCAAAAATAGGTTGAAAGGCAAAGTGGATAAACTGAAGACTATAACAGATGGAGGAGGAGAATATGTCCTCCCACTATTTCAAGACTATTGTGGAAAAAAGGGAGTGTTTCATGCGGTTTACTCCTCCTACACGCCTCCACAATGGGGCATGCATAGAGGAAAAATAGAACAATTCTAAACAGGGTGAGGTGTATGCTGAAAA